CATCAATTAACATGACCCCTATAACTAGGCAACATTTCGACAAGTCAAAGTGCTTCAAAGTAAGTGAATTTGAGGGAAGAGTCTACAATATCGAGCTTAATAATCCCAAATAGCAATACCCTCAAAATGCAAGACTAATGGCTATTGATGAACACTTCAATTACAAAGGAGAAAAATAAATGTAAACTAGTGGTGCAACAGAATGGCACGGACTTTCTCGTACTAGTTAGTTTTCTAATATCTTTTGTTGGGCTATCTTTTCGGTTTTGTCTTCACACTCTTCCCATATGCCATCTATTGCCGCCAAAAAATATTTTCCACATTTCATCAAGTTTTCGGCCCTCTAAAAATAGTAATGAATATGACTTAAGCATATTATATAAGAGTAAAACCTGATTTTAAATGAAAATTTTCGTTTAAAAATTTGGAGCCATTTTTGAGGGTTCATTTTCAGAGAAAACTTTTTGAGTACTTGAGAATTTTCTTTAAAAATCATTTGCAACACTTCTACTCACTATTGTGATAATGCGTAAAAAACATCCGTAAAGTAAATATGAACGATAAGATATATTCTTTAAAAAATACATTTGTGTAATTAAAATAATAAAGATGAGAAATTAGAATTAATATCTCTAACATTGTAGTAATAAGAAGACGCCGAAAAAATGTTGAACTTAAGCAATTTTCGAAAAACTCGAGTCCAACGAAAATGCGTCCTTATCTCTATTCGAGGAACAAATTTAATACAAACATTTCGAGTAATTTTTGTGAAAATTCTGAAAATATTTCTTGTTGACATGATATAAAGAGCTTACAAAAATCAAACTATCTGTTTCAAATTCGTTGGGCTTTGAGTTCGGTCAGTTCGATTGAAGAAAATACATTTTTGGGGAAATCGTATGAATGATTAAGGTGCTAACGTTTACCACATATTCACGAACAGGCAGTTTGGCAGTTGTTTTGCCGTCGTTTAATACATACGATTTGATACTTATTTAATTTGAGCCTTTTTTTTATATATGTAAAATTTCGGAATTTGTTACGGTCAAAAAATAATTGGAGTCACAATAATTTCACTTATTCAACTTCAATCTCTCAAATCTCTCAAATTACGTGCGTTTTTATACGTTATTGTGTACAACTGCTTCTATTAATTTCGGATGAAATTTCTAAAAAACTCAGAAGTTGTAAGTGAAAATGAGCTTCAAAATGTGCATTTTGAGAATTGCTCAAATGACATTTCCCAAAAAGAGACCCAAGGTTTTCGATGAAAATTTGATTACAGTACCATATGTTAATCTTTAATATTATTAAAATCATATTTTAACTCCACTATCGAGGCATCGAAAAAATGAGAAAATGTGAAAAACTGTCCAAAATGCCTGATCCGGCTCGTCCCGCAACCGATATAAAAAGTGCTGACCGTCGCGATCCAGTGTTCGCTTAGCTTGAGACAGGCATGTCAAGGTCGCGGGCGAGGTATTATTCGCGCAACTTTTCTTGAACGATAGACGAATTCGAGTGGAGTGGGGGTATTAGTTACAAAGTCAGCCACTAGAGTATTTCAAGTAATGGCAACGTCTGTGAAATGAAAGTCAAATCTGCAACTTGTGTGGCCAGGTCATCGCTCTGGGAAGGCAACAACAGGGACACTAGATGAATTAAAATGTATTTAAGCAGTCAGCAGTCGCTAATTTTGACAAGCATTTTTGTCGAAATTACCCAGAACTCACCACGTGGAGGTGTCTACACATCAAGTTCCCCACTTGCCCTCCCTACCTTTTGAAAGCTAGTAACTCATATTCGATGATTTTAATGTTAAGTCTGGGTTTGGTGGCGTATTCGGATATAGGTCAGAATAATCAGAACATGAATCTTCACTCTCGTAACTGGACCGTGAAGAGTTGTTAATAATAATTTCATTAATTGACATTTCTAGATCCGATGCCCTACTTTAAAGTTTTGTACATGTCTACAATAACCACCCCACTCTGATGATTATACTTGTGCAAAAGCTGATTTAGTGAGCTTAAACAAATTTTCTGCTCTCTGACATGTCTTTTCACTTTAGCCCATGCAAGTTCTATGGGGTTCAAATCACAATTATATGGGGGCAGACGAATTACCGTGTGGCCTTTTCTTGCTGCAATTTCATCTACAACGTATGTCTTATGAGGAGGCTTATTTTCCTTAATTTTTTTAAATAGTGCTTCTTTTCTCATGGACATATCACACAATATGCCCTTATTTTCTAACCACTGAACCATGGTTATTTTGATGTCATATCTGCATGTTTTTTTTCTACCTGTCTGCTGTAATACGATGCATTGTCCAGAACTATTACTGATTCAGGAGGCAGATTGTCAAGTATTTTTGTACAAAACCATCTTTCAAAATTTTGTGAATTCATCTGACCATGATATTTCCCTGTCGTTGATTTGGCTTTAAATATTATTTGAGCCTCCTCAATGAATCCATTTTTAGAACCATATTATCCACAATAAATCTTTTGAATGTACTTCCCCAAACAGTGACACCAACATCATCTTTTCTTTGCCAGCATTTCCCCTCAGTAAGATTGCTGTCGATCCATGATTTGTCAATACAAAAAACTTCTCTCCCTTTCTCTGAAATGTTTCATTTGTACAATGAAACGAGTTTGCCAGTCCACAATATCCGCTCCCTCCAGAAGCAAAGTTCTCTTATTTTGAACTCTTTTCCAAAAAACAACCATACAGTGCAATGTTTTTCTAAGAGAGGTTTTCCACCATCTCCAATTAATCTTTTCTCGCAAAACAGGTAGAAACTTTTCTAATGATGGAACAATTTTTTCCACTGAATAAAAATGCTGGATTTGTATCTCGTTTAACTCTTGTCAAAATCATCGACAGCAACCTCACCTTTTGTTCTTGTTCTAATATAAAAAAAGAAAAGAATGTACCCTTAAATAATATTTAAATATTATGGAATATTTCAAATTAGCAAGCAATGATGACGCGATTACATCAAAATTCCATTTTATATATTTTAAGATAGGATGCTTTAAATTAATAATTGCAGAAGTGTCCAATTTATTATAAGTGAAGTATATCTACATTTCCCTTTGACATCTTTTCACCATTTTCCCCAAGTTTTTAGAATGAATGGTTGATTTATAATATCAAAGGTAATTACATTTTTAAAACAATATTAGTGTTGACAGAAATGTTAAAACATTTATTTATTTTTGTCACCTTTTTTATTTATTTATGTCAAACAGCAATACTGGTTATAAAGGAAGGGATTTCAATTCAAAACTTTTAAAAAACTAATAAACATTAATATTTTTTGTTTTTTAATATTATATTATGCCATAATAATAAAAATATTAAATAACAATTATTCACTGATTGATTGTAATAAAGCAATATTCAGTTCCAAAAACTAATAGATTACTAAGATTTGTACTTTAAGTCTTCGCAACTTTTTCATTCTAGCTTAATTGATTTTTAATAGTTTGATTTTTATCAGTACATTTTTAATAGAAATGTTCGGTGTCAGATTTGTATTCAGAATTATTCCTCACATTTGTTAACACATGACTGGATAATTTCTTGACTTTTGAAGCGTACCGGGTTTGTTTGCCTCTAGTGACAAATCTTATTTTATTGTAATACTTTCTTCTTATAAATTGTGCGTGTCTAAAGAGGAACTAACAAGGCAAACATTTTTTAATGTCTTAAAATACTATAAATCAGCCTTTCATTTGAAAATCAGTGTAAAGTTTATGGAAATAGTATGTAAAAAATATAATTACAGAGAGTATGATAAATTAGTTTCTTTGAATGTTACCTTTTTTACCGGGCGTTTCTGGGGATTGTGAAGGGTCATTGGCTCCTTTTAACTTTATTCTATGTATAGTGGAAATACTAGCTCCATTACACGCAGAAGCCCGATCTATAGCATGACCCAGAGGATGCAACAAAACATTGTTCTCCTTTTCCACTTCACAAGCATTCACCACTATATCAATAATTTTGCGTTCGCAATGATATGTCCTCTTAACTTTTTCGGGAGTTTTAGGTGACTCCCTTGAAGGACCTGGACCTGACTCAGCCATTTCTTTCGATATTGACAATAAACCTGAACAGGGGTTCTGAACTATGAAAGCAACTGGCTTTAACTAGCTTCTATTTCGCGGCACCGAAGTTTTAATGCTTGGAAGGTTGTCATCAGTGCCCGCTGGGAGCTTTTGCCTTCAACTGTTTAATGCACAAGGGAGGGGGATCAAGGTCATCGTTCAAGAAAAGTTGCGCGAGTAATAACTAGCTTACTAGAGCTCGCGGCCGCTATGACTCAAATAACTAGCGCGAGTTTTAAAAGTAAGGCTCTGATTTAGTGGTGTATCTCTGGATACCTGGCCCATGACAGTCCTTTGGAAGCGACAGTTGTATTATTGTTCCAAATTTAACTATATTAAACTCCATTTCCACTAATAAAGCAAAGAAATGTTCCATTAAAATGTAATAATACATCAGTCAGGTTTCAAATTATAAATCGAGAGTAAAATTAAATATTTTGAATCGAAAGTATCTTGATTTTCGTCCGTTAAAAAGCTGTCCGCCCTTAACCAAGATTTTATTAACTTACAGAAACTTGTACACGTACGCTTCCGCTGCTCTAGTTCATCACTTTTGGGCTATCCGAGGGACGCCGAGTCGTTGGATAAGAGGTATACCCCCGGTATATCCCTTTGTGGACACGGAGGGGAAATAAGAGCGTAGTCAGGGGAAGTTGCCTGTACTCGCTGAAGCGCAAGGTTTACCTCGGGCAGCTGGCTTGTGGTTTGACTGGCCTTGCTTATGAGATATAATCTAGACGCGTTGGCCTCTCGCCCTGGGAAACGCTTGTGCTACGTATGACGCTTTTATTGCTATCTCAGCGCGGCGGGGAGTGGGGCGGGGGGAGGGGGCGGGGACGACTGGCGGACGGGACGGTCGCACGCGAGGGAACGTCGCTGTCGCACTCTCGTCAGAAGAGCCGTTGCTGCGGCCCAGTCCGGAGCGCCCGTTCGCCGCCGCCGCCGCCGCCGCCTCCGCGCCATGGCGCCCAACATTCAGGGCGAGCAGGAGCCGCAGCGGCCAAGCAGGTAGCGCCGTCTCCCGCTGCGCAACAAACCGCAAAATTGCCTGTCTTTTTCGGGGCAGCGGACAAGGCGCGCTCGTTTACAGCCGATCTTGTTTTTACCGCTGCTTACCCGCATGTTTCCGGCCTTGAATGCAATAGGTCGCTGTTGAGTAAGCGAGACAGATGAAATAATGAATATTAATACGTTAGTTGATTCTATAAACACGTTTGATAGATGAAAATGTATGTACTAGTATTTGTTCATAATTAAGTCGACATTATTTTTACGAATTGTAATCAAGTTAATGCATTGGTTCAATATCCTTTCATTTTCATTGTTTCATTCGCGATAGATTCAAAGAATTTTACGCCGTATTAATTCTTTATGATCCAAATTACCTCAGAAATTTTTAAGATACAAATAACACGAAAACTTAACCAAACTTAACAAAAAAAACTTAACGAAAACTTAACCACTTAAACAAATAACACGAAGTGCATTTTTACAATCAATTATAACAGGATTACTTTCCAACCCGTCTATAGTCGAACAATGAATGCTTTCTGTGTGTATTGAGAATAGGATTGGGAAGAAACACAGTAAGCTGGGTCCTTTATATCTTGACCTTATCGAGTTGACTTCGTTTTTCGCACTATCTCTAAATTTCGTATCTCCTCAACAGTGGGCAGTTTGCAATAACTTGCGCCAATTGTCAAAGAAATAATTAGTAGACTGATGACCCTTATGACTATTATCTCGTGACGAATGTTTTGATGAAAGAGATTTTATCAAGTGTTTGATAACATTTTCAAATATATTTCAAAGATATTCGTCCCCTTATAGGAATTCTCTAGAGAGATTGCACCAGCAAATTTTCTCTTAAGTTCATATTTTCTATTTTGCAGAAATCTTTCTTATCTTATCTTACAGTAATGTGCATTTCTTATCTTAAAACGTATTTTATGGTAACTGTAATAGTGTATCATGTACAAAAGTGTTTCTAATGAACGCTAGGATATAAGATAAAAGTCTCGCTTTATTTACAAACGGAGGTGAGCCCGTCTACATTTTAACTTTGCCTATTTTTCTCACAAATGTATTTAATCTCTTGGAATCTCTCTCATTTTCTCTCACAGTTGTCAAAAAATGGGCAATGATAAAACAATATGTCAGTAATAAATACTATGCTATTATTATCATTATTGTTAATATTATTATTAAAACATTATGATAGTCAATAGAAAAATATTATCAATGGAATAACACGTACATACGACTTTCTTCTTATTACATGTCCGTTAAAAATATGAAATTTTAATTTCCTTGACAATTGCACCTTTAGTTTTTCTTTCAGAACTTACGTTGCTTAATTGATAAACTGCATTACTCGTGTCTACCACTTCGCCAATAGTCGATTACGGGAACGGGTTACGGCGAACGGTTAACGGGTCAGTGGCAACTTTTTCTTGAAATACAAAAACCCTTTTATGAAGTCTGTATTATTACTCACGCAACTTTTCTTGAACGATGGATTGAAGAAACGCGGATAGAGTGGGGGTATTAGTTACGAAATCGGCATTAAATTTTATGACACAATGCCAATCTCTGGAAAATCAATCATGGCTTCGCAACGTTCTCAATAATTTGCATTTTAACTTTCTCAGGAGTTCGAGGTGCTCTTGTGATAAATCTTTTCCTGCATCGTTCATTTCTTTAGATTTTTGGAAAAAATAACGGATAGAAGTTCTCACCTTCAAAAGAAAATTATTCCTATTTCGCGGTAGTGAAGATCTTTTTGGAAAATCATCAGTGCTCGCTGCGAGCTTTAGCCTTCCATTGTTTATTGTGATAGAGAAGGGGAAGGAAGGTCATCGTTCAAGAAAAGTTGCGCGAGTAATACTATCTTCAATTTACGCTGAAATTGAGAGAAATTTATACAGGCTCCGGTCTCTTGGGAAGTGTCTTTGGATTCGTTAGGTATCCAGAAACTCAGAAAAAATTCAATAAGAATTAACCAGTATTGATTTTGCTTGAAAAAACAAATATTTCATTCTGTATTCATAGTGCGCCCACCAACCGAATTCCCATTCTCAATAACGTGATCCAGTGAAACGTGTGTTGCTGGTTGAATGTATGCTTGATGACATACTATGAACTTCATTGAATATTCTACTACATTCTACAGGTTTCGTTTTAAATGTTTGATGCACCCCTGTAGGGTAATAACCTATCTAGTTCAAGTGCATTGGTAGGGGTTTGAGTCGATTGTGTCATCAAACATTCAGAATCATTTCTTAAACGCCGTGCTTGTATGTATATTAGGATTGGGCAAAATACTTGAAATTTACTAGGGCTTATTTAAATACTTCGCTAAAATACTTTATGCGTATTTAAATACATACACAAAATACATTCGGACTTGAAGTTCTAAATACATACGTATTTAAAATACTTCGAATACTCAAAATACGGTAAATATAATACTTTTGAATTATATTTTTTACTGCAACAATGTATTATAATTGAGAATTACAATAAATTATTGACAGTCATACAAATTTCTGAACAATAACTATTGTTATGTATTATAACCATATGTTTAAACATTTTAAAATATAAAATGATATCAAAAATATGTCTAACACAAATAAATGAAATTTCCTTTTAAAACGACTAATTTTTCAAACATATCGCCAGACAATAAACGCTTAGTTATCGAATGTATAAAACCAGCAAAGGAAAACAGTCATTCAACTGGCGTGGATGAGCATTCACTAGCGTTATAACGAATCAACACATTTTACTTTCCCGTATAAATACGTACACACAGAGTAATATACGTAATATGGGGAGAGTTGTGTAATGCTGCGGAAAATTGATTTCGAGATTTCGAAGAAAATACACCTTTTAGGATCCCCTGATGCCGAAAAACCTTTTTTTTTCTTCTTCAAAACGTCCGTGTCTGTGTCTGTTCGTCAATTCCCCTGGCCGCCCGTCTGTGAACACTACTAGGATAGGAGCTACTACTAGGAGATACGACTAAGCGTAGGATTTTTTCCAAATTGAAGAAACCCCTGTCCATCTGGCTCGAGTCTAAGCATCGGGATTTCAAAAGACATTCTTCAAAATTTGGGTGTACTTTCCATGACCCGGGAATTTTTAAAATTTTCTCAAAAACGGCTACACATTTTTTCTTTAAAATTCTTGTAAGAATAGAGTAAAATACTCTTAAAAAGGCGGCAAAGTTTGAATATTTTCGGCCGCTTCCTACAACTAGAAAATTGAAGATAGAGGTTTTTTTATATGAAATTTGGCATCCATAATTAGTTCTTTCATGAAGGTCATGTTCATTTTTTCTAAAATTTTAGTTAGTTTTTAGGTAGGTTTTAGTATTTGGTGGGCTATGTGAGTTTTCAACAACATTTTCTCAAAAACGCCTCCAAATTGTTTCTTTAAACTTTTGGTTGTGATGGCCCTCAATGTACTCTACAATAAGACATAAACGCCGTATTGCTCCATTCTTTTGTTTTTTCAAACATTACAAAAATGTAATTTTTTTGGACTGGTCTCTCACGTCGTTAATATTTAATTAGTGGCGATTTGTTTTCATTATTGCATTTACAAGTACCTGTAGTTTAAATAATGCTTTATAAAGTTTTCACGCAAGCTCTTTTTAAAGTTTTCTGTGAAAACGAGCTCAAATTACCGCTTCTTCAGAAATCTTCAAACGTCATTTTCTAAAAAACGGCGCAGAATATTTTTTTCAAACTTTTCGTGAGAATTGTGCTAATGGTAATCTTTAATAGGACAGTAAATTAATGTTGCTGCATTCTTTTGTTGTTTCGCAAATTACAAAAATGTCATTATTTGACTAGCATTTCGCGTCGTTAATTTTTACACTAATGACATTTTGTTTACATTATTGTATTTATGAATTCATGTACTTTAAATAATGTCAAATACAGTTTCTTGAAAATTTTAACATTTTATGTGAAAATGAGAACAAAAGTCCGCATGTTCAAAAACGCTCAAAATCCTTTTTCTGAAAAATGTCTCCAAATTCTTCCTTAAACTTTTCCAACGGAAAGTGCTAATTATACTGTTTAAGATTATTACATATTATTTTGGGTCATTCTTATTTTTTTCAAAAATTACATAATTGTAATGTTCTTGAAATAT